ACAGTTCTGTAATGTTCATCGTAGGTACACCTCAACTGTGAGAGACAGAATTTACCAAATAATTCCAGTAAATCACATTGTTAGATTTTTAAATAATTTATTTCCATTTTATTGCATAAAATAAGTATTTGATCACCTACCAAGCAGCAAGAATTCTGGCTCTCACAGACCTGTTAGTTTGTCTTTAAGAAGCCCTCCTATCCTCCACTTATTGCCTGTATTAATTGCACCCGTTTGAACTCGTTACCTGTATAAAAGACACCTGTCCACACACTCAATCTATCAGACTCCAACTTCTCCACTATGGGCAAGACCAAAGAGCTGTCTAAGGACACTAGGGACAAAATTGTAGACCTGCACAAGGCCAGGATGGGCTACAGGACAATAGGCAAACAGCTTGGTGAGAAGGCAACAACTGTTGGTGCAATTATTAGAAAATGGAAGAAATTCAAGATGACTGTCAATCTCCCTTGGACTGGGGCTCCATGCAAGATCTCGCCTTGTGGAGTATCAATGATCCTGAGAAAGGTGAGGGATCAGCCTAGAACTACACGGGAGGACCTGGTCAATGACCTGAAGAGAGCTGGGACCACAGTCTCAACGGTTACCATTAGTAACACACTACACCGTCATGGCTTAAAATCCTGTAGCACACGCAAAGTCCCTCTGCTCAAGTCAGCACATGTCCAGGCCTGTCTGAAGTTTGCCAAAGTCCATCTGGATGATCCAGAGGAGGCATGGGAGAAGGTCATGTGGTCAAATGAGACCAAAATAGAACTTTTTGGTATAAACTCCACTCGCCGTGTTTGGAGGAAGAAGAAGGATGAGTACAATCCCAAGAACACCATCCCAGATGTGAAGCATGGGGGTGGAAACATCATGCTTTGGGGGTGCTTTTCTGAAAAGGAGACTGGACGACTGCACCATATTGAGGATGGATGGGGCCATGTATCGCAAGATTTTGGGCAACAACCTCCTTCCCTCAGTAAGAGCATTGAAGATGGGTCGTGGCTGGGTCTTCCAGCATGACAATGACCCCAAACACACAGCCAGGATAACCAAGGAGTGGCTCCGTAAGAAGCATTTCAAGGTCCTGGAGTGGAGCCAGTCTCCAGACCTGAACCCAATAGAAAATCTATGGAGGGAGTTGAAACTCTGTGTTGCCCAGCGACAGCCCCAAAACCTGAAAGATCTGGAGAAGACCAGTGTGGAGGAGTGGGCCAAAATCCCTGCTGCAGTGTGTGCAAACCTGGTTAAGAACTACAGGAAACATCTGACCTCTGTAATTGTAAACAAAGGTTTCGGTACCAAATATTAAGTTCTATTTTTCTGTTGTATCAAATACTTATTTCATGCAATAAAATAGAAATAAATTATTTAAACATCTAACAATGTGATTTACTGGAATTTTTTTTTGTAGATTCTGTCTCTCACAGTTGAGGTGTACCTACGATGAAAATTACAGATCTGTCCAATCTTTGGAAGTGGGAGAACTTGAAAAATCGGCAGTGTATCAAATACTTATTTGCCCCACTGTATATATATATATTGATATCAATCCTGTCTATTTCATATAATTTTGTTTGTTTTAGCCAAAGTCCAAGAAGAATGAAGCCAATAAATTTGAAATCAGGAATGTTTGACTAAACTATAATGAAGGTTCCAAATTTAAAAAACACAATGTCTATATATATATATTCTCCATTAAAGAGATTCAAGGTTTGACAACACTGTGCTTTATCATGCCCTACCTGTCTGGGGTCGCACAGTGGTGATGGCATCCAGGTAGGCCTTGATGTCTCTCTGCCTGAGCTGCATGGTGAGTTCGAAGGCTGTTTTGGACAGAACGTTGATTCGGTCTGGGTCAGCTCCACGCTCCACTAACTGCTGAGCCACAACCACCTTCAAACACACACACTACTTTACTCTGTTTTCCTTCCAGTTCAAACCAGACAAATACCATGTTGGGATATTTACTCCATAGGCATTTGTGATGGCAGCTACAATATCCAAAAACATATTATCCATCAATCTTATCTATGCAACCAACCAACCAACCATGATTCACCCCACCTTCCCACTGAGAGTGGCCACCATTAGTGGTCCCCAGCCGGTGGTCTTCTGAGAGAAGTTGACATCAGCGCCCCACTCTAGCAGCAGACGTACTGTGGCCTCATGGCCGTGCTGACACGCCACCATCAGGGCTGTGATATCCATGAATTCTCTGCCGCCACTTCCTCCTGGACAGCCCTCACCACCTCCAAAACCAGCCACGCTGCAGGAATAAGAGAGAAAGAGCCACATCGGTTTCCAAGACAAGGATTAAGACCAGTACTACATTAAAGATGTTGTTCAAACAACAGTAACACTAAATCTTGTTTCAGTTAAAATGTAAGTTTAATGCTGAAGGACTCATACCTGCAGCTGTTGTTGTTGTTCCCATTGCACACTGTCTCTGCAGAAACAGCCAAGTGATCGTAGTCATCGACGTAGGCCCCGCTCTCTAAGAGGAGTTTCACTACATGAGTGTGGCCCCCACGGGCCGCCATAGTCAGGACACTTGCACCTAGCCTGTTGCGTCCATTTATCTCTGCCCCGTTCTCCAAAAGAATGTGGGCGACACTCAGGTGACCAAACCTGGGTGGAGAATTGGAGACAGTGAGATTGAAAGTGGTGGAATTTAACAGTTATATAATTTAAAATGAGGTCAGTAAACACTTTGATAAAATTAAAGTTACAAAGTTATTTTCCATTAAAATGTGTGTTGTCGTGGCGAGATAAGGGAAACTGCCAGATTTTTGAAGGGGTTTGGTGTGACCCTCTCCACAAGCCCACTGCCCCACCTAGCAGCCTGCATCAGCGGGGTCCAGCTTGCGGCTGTCCACCGAGGCCCCCTTCCGTAGCAAAAACCGCACCAGGTTCTCATGGCCGCTCGCCGAGGCGAACTGCAGGGCGGTGTTCCCCTCCTCGTCGGTACATTCCACGGGGACCAGCGACGACATGCCCGCGGCGTTGCACTCCGACCCCGCTTCTGACCGCAGCCTGCTCTGCCGCCCGGACTCCTTCGGGGCTCCCGGCTCCAGGATGCCCCGGACCGTTTCATAGTCCCCCTCATCGCAAGCACGGAAAATCAGGAGAGAGTTAGCGGAGACGTCGAAATTCATCTCTTCATTAAAAATTTAAAATTTAGCCTCCATTTGGCTCCAGTGTTTACATCGACAAAAACGGTCCAAAACGTTTTTCTCTGTCACTCAGCGGCGGCCTGTGTTTTAGGTGACACACGGTAAAATACTGTAATACTCTCCGTTCCTACACAAGCAGCCAGACGTTCTTGTGGTATCAATGTCCTTTTATTTGTAATAACTTAACAGGCTTCCATGCTGTTGTTTTAGTCACAGCACACACTAACGAGCTCTTTTGAAACTCTCAACATTCAACACTCCACAACAACACCAACATCTGCCTGCTCTTCCTCGCTCTCTCTCCTCCCACACACCTCACAGCGCCCCCCTCTCACATTCTTTCAGGCAATAACATGCAGAACCATATAACAGGATGCTAGACATTAGAACCATTATAATACGTTTAGTCTCCGAGTCACCAACTGCTCCTCTTGTTCTCAGGCACTACACACAAGCATCAGTTTCCATCATAACATTTCAAACATAACTTAACGACTTTCCACGAAACAATTCCTGGCGAGAGGCCGATGCTCCAGCTACGTTACTCATTGAGGAATCTGACCAGCATCAACCAAACATCGCGGGACTTCTGCCTTCTCCTTTCAACACAAGACTCCTCATCACAAAGGCATACTTCATAACTTTAATATTTGCTCTTGATTAAAACACCTTTTCAGATGAATTAGAATTTTAAAACCAACAAAAATGGACTTTCTTATATTTACTAAACATTAAAGAGTATTAAAACAAACAATCAAACAAACAAACAAAAAAAACCCCCCAACAAAATAGACACATAGAAAAATAAACTAACAGCAACAATAACAACAAAAAATGAACCAATATCCCTTCAGTTCACATTTCTTTGGTCAATAAGTACAATACTATCACAGACATCTTCTAAAGGTACTACATCAATACATATTCACTTCCAACTGTTTGTATTAGAAGTATACATGCAATATACAGTGTATTTCATTCATTGAGATATTTTATATATACACATAAAGACTTTTCCCCTGGGAGTGGTTTACCCAAAACATTCTACTATTTTGACATAACAGCTAATGGTATAGCAGATAAAATAATACAAATATGTATTATATACATATTGGTGGAGTAGGATGTCATAATATCAGATTATAAATATAAAGATTGCCGACATCACCATAAACTGAGACATTGCAAAATATACATGCGAAATTTGGTATTTAAAAAACTAAGACTATTTTAAAATGTTTTAGCTTATTTTGGCAGATTTTACATTGTCAAAGATGCCAAAAATATTTGGAAAAAAGTAAATTAATGAAATACACTAATATATGCAAACAAAAACAGACCTTTTGTATTTAAGAGGAACAGATTTAGCTTGGTAGAATTTATAACCTAGTCTAAAATTGAAGTCATCTCACTTTTTAATTAGAAGATAGGCTTCTTGAAAAGTCCAAGGAATGTTTTCCACAACACAGGCCTTTGGTTTTGGGGAGAACTCAGCTCCTTAATGATAAACCCCACAAATTTTCCTTTCAGTTTTTTCAATAGTAAGAGTGAAGTTAAAACGTCATCTTGTGAGTATTTTTAAAAACATGTTATGTATATCACATTTATTTACATTTGTTTTGTATATATCTGGTGGTTAACAGAATATTAGAAGCACTTCATCAATTTTGTTTATTTGAAAGGATTTCTGTAGATTTTATTAAATGTATTTGAATTCATCAAACTCATCAAGTCAATTAAATCAACGAACTGAAATTCTGAATATTGTTCGGTGCCTTATATCTATTCACTTGCCAGCAGAAATTAAGGGTTTTACGGGAAGTTTCATTATGTAAACATTGTTTCTGACTTGACACCGATGGAATTGACAGCTCTAAAGAGTATTTACTCCCGCCAAGTGGGCACACTGAGAAACTACATTAAATCAGTTAGTCACGCAGCCACCACTAGACGGCGCTGTCGTTATTGTCCAAAGTACTGAAAAACGGGAAGAAGAGTAACTACGTGCACCCTCCGTAGAAGAAACAGGAGCCCGGATGAACAGAATATAAGCAGGAGACAGTCTTTTGCTCGCCCTTTTTGCGAAGAACAAGTTCCTGACTCACCGCTGTTCGCGTGATTTTACTCCGAATAAGTCGGTCAGGAATAATCACAATGGTATGTGTGTTGTTGGCATAGCCTCGAATGTGTTGTACAAAGCTTTGTTGATAGTGATATAATAATTTTATAATATAATTTACAACTACAAATGTATTGTGTGCTTGCTATCGTGACGGCTGGGAGAGTGCTGCCGCCTCAAGCAGTCGTTCTGCTGCAAAACATTAACAAAGGGACCTCTTTAATAATGTAATGCTTATTCTCACTGTTATAAACTTCACAGCATACCAGACAGAGTCTGGGCTATAGGCTTTACGATTCGGCACATTTATAACTTCTTTATAAGTGTTTTTAGGCTTAAGATGTAGTGTATTCCTCCCGCTATAGCGTGTCTCGTGTGACCTCAAATTATTGTAAATGTAGAAATTTTAGTCTTTTATGATCATTCAGAGACTTAAGGCTTTGTAAATAGCCAAAGACAGTATTGTTTGACAGAACAATACAAAAATATTTCACTGAGCACATACAAAAACGTAATCAGTCATGTTTTAACACGTGCACTGGAAATAATAATGGCCCATGTTTATATTGTCTTCTATAGCGTGTTAAGTGGAGAAATTGACGTGGGAGTTTGGGCCACTTTTGTAGACAACGTTCCTTACACTAAAGCAATTTTTTTGTAGATTGTCGATTCGTTTTAATATGCGCCGCACCACGTGGTAACGTTAGCTGCTGTTCCAGGTTTGTACATCCGGTTTGTTTAAAGTCGCGATCCATAAGGATTAACCTGAATTTTCAAGTTGAAAGCATGAGTCCATAACAAATACCACGATTGACCCTCATCTCTTAAAAAAAAAAAAAACGTATTGTAAGTGGTCAGTTTTCTTTAAATAATAAACCATTATATTATCTGTGTAATCCAAGGGAAAATGCTAAATGATTCCAAGTCACTACACCCACCCTTGCAGAGTGTTGCCTGTCCATGATTTAAAAAATATCCTGTCTGTGCATAGCCAGACTGGTTCTTGGTTTTGATGTCTTGCTTTTGCAAATGCAGGCTTTCAAGGACACCGGCAAGGCACCTGTCGAAACTGAGGTTGCCATTCACCGCATCCGCATCACACTCACCAGCCGCAATGTCAAATCTCTGGAGAAAGGTAACTGACACGCATTAGTTCATGTTGAGATTGACACTTAGACCTGTGCAATGAGGATAATATATCCATTGATAGTCCATGATGACTATATACGCTATTCTGAGCCATGGTGTTAAAATGTCATAAAATATTTTTTTCCTCATATTTTCTTACGTTTTATTTTTGTCATCCTCAGTCTGTGCAGACTTGATCCGTGGGGCTAAGGAGAAGAACCTGAAGGTGAAGGGACCCGTCCGCATGCCAACCAAGGTACTGAAGTACACTGGCTAACATTTTCTAAAGTGTATGGAAATGAGACATGGTTTTGTTGTAAAATACAGTGTCATGTTTGTGTTGAGCTTTCTATCCTTTCCTTTGCAAACCCTGTTTTATTTACTGTGCTTCAACAAAGCAGACGGGCCCATTTTTGGAAGTTGAAATGTGCATAAAAATTTCCTCAACAATTCTGATTCATTTAAAAGAAATTCCAACAATCCATAACTTGCTTTTAGTTTTCAAATGTTTGATACTCTTTAGATGGGGTTAGTCTAGATTTTCTTTTTACTTTTGCTCAAACTAAATTCTGTTTTCTCTGCCCTATCCCAGACTCTGCGTATCACCACCAGAAAGACTCCCTGTGGTGAGGGGTCCAAAACCTGGGATCGCTTTCAGATGAGGATCCACAAGCGCCTTATTGATCTGCACAGCCCATCTGAAATTGTCAAGCAGATCACCTCAATCAGCATCGAACCAGGTGTCGAGGTTGAAGTTACCATTGCAGATGCGTAAACACTGCAGATGATGCAATAAAGAAATGAAAAAGGAAACTGATGTGATGCTTATTTGTGCTCGTAACTGATAGTTGGAAAAGCTAAAATGTACATAAAGAACAAGACACTGGGATATGGCTCAATTAATTTAACAGAAGTTCATAACAACGTTTTGCTGCTGCCAGCAGCATTTCATACCCACTGGTTAAAAACAGAATAAAAATGAAAGAATGTAACATACAGTAGCTTTCAGTTCATTCATGATTTTTAAAAATGTACACTCGCCTTAAACATGTTCAAGTTCAGGTTTTGCTAGCTCAAGTCTTGCAGATGTGGAAGAATGAGTTCAAACTGCACCAAGAAACAATGATTTAAAAAATAGTGCAAGAAGAAAATTAATGGGTTTCTTGTTGCAGAGTTTTGCACTTGTCTTTTATTAATCAAATGGTGAACTGTGACTAATGAGGGACAATGTTTTGAGACCTTTTACTGATACTAGGGTCTTTTATCTTTTGATGAGGCTAAACATGCACTCTGACCTTTCAAGCATCCCATGTTGCAGCTAAAGTACTATAATTCAAGAATCCTTCCATTAGCTACTTCCAGTCACGAAGAGCATTGTTGCATTTCTACAACATTGCTCTTTGCTGTGAAAGCCACTAAGAATTACTGGATTTTTCCATTAAATATTTTTTTAATTATCCTAATTGATTCCCCTGAGAAACTTGAACGGAGAGAAATATATGAACAAATATACAGTATGGGGAAAAGTTTACAATGTCATAAACCTTGTTGCAGAGAGTGAAAAAACATGACCCAGGCATGCTAGGCTAGCTCAACAACCTAAGTACCACTGAGGAGTGGTACTTCTGACCTCAGTCTTGAGACAATGTTGAACCCTGAACAAGCCACACTGGATCCTTGAGGTCAGAAGTATCACTCCCCAGTTCTTTAAGTTGCATTAGAAAAGCTAAACTATTACAGTTATAGTATCAGTCATATCTGCCTGCATTTCTGTGGATTTTCATTTGTCACTTTATTTACTCAAAATCAAGTGTGGAACATAAACACAACAGGAAGACAGGAAATGACAAAACTCTACAGTGTCTGCCAACAGTGATCACAGTATATTTAGTGAAACCATAGCATCTCAATGTTCAGAATCAGAATCAGCTTTATTGGCCCGGTGTGTCAGACACACGAGGAATTTGACTCTTGTGCAGTGGCTCTCAATGTGTACATACATGTCAACAAGCAAGGCAATGTGCATTAGAAAAGAGATTTAAAAAATAAGAGTAGCTGTGGATACCATGCATGTTCAATATTTTGTGTAGAGTTGACTCATGAAAAGATATGTTAACCAACTCCAATAAATCCTTCAAGTCTTCAGCTCTTAACTCTAGGGTTCTTTTTTTTTAACCTCACTGAGCATTCTGCATTATGCCTTTGGAGTGATCTTGGATGGGCACCAACTTCTATGGAGAGCAGCCAGAGTACCAAATCACCATTTATAGACAGTATGTTTAACTGTGGAGTGATGAATATTCTAAAGTTACAGATGACTCTAACTCTTTCCAGCTACACACAAAATTAACAGCTCTTGATCGTAGGTCTTCTGAATCTCTTTTTGCAAGGCATGGCTCACCTGAGCTGCTGCTGCTTGTGAATAGTACACTGACACAGAGTGTTTTTATAAGTCAAGGTTGTTCTAAACCACACCTCCATTCCCATTTCAGTGATTGGACTCCAGGTTTGCTAACACCTGACTCCAGTTGATGTTTCGTGACCTCAGAAGCCTAATGTTGCCGTTTATTTTTTTTTCACCATCACTTTCTATGTTTAAAGTCCCCATGCATGCTTGTTTCCAGCCATTTGTTTAAGCTTGGGTACCTCTAGCTTCCCTGAGTGGTTAACTGAAGTCTGGATAGTCTTGATCCTGAAGGAGCCTCAGAAGGGAGCAGTACCATCCAACTACCGCCCAATAACCTGCCTCTGCACAACATGGAACCTCCTGTCAGGCATCATAGCAGCTAAGATG